AAATGTTCACAAAAGAGAGATTTTATCTAGCTACTAACAAGTCTGCAGAATTTTAGCCCAAGCAGTGAACACTTGAGAAAGCTTTGCAAACCTTTGAAACTGGGGAGGGATCTGCTGCGTGAGACGGGTAACATACTCAAGACAGTGTTAGCTCTGATGAAGAAAGCAGTGCTCAACCTCTGCTCTTTTCTTGCTGCAAAGCCATTTCCCCCTGTCCTGGCTCATAGAGACAAGAGGCACAAATTTGTATCGCGCTATTTGTACAGTTGCTTTCCAGAGCAGAAAGGTGGTGTATTTTTTTTTTTTAATACTCTCCCCATAATTCGTAAAGCTTGAAGAAATGGAGCTTGAGCCTGAGGCATCTGAAAGCAGAGCATGTTTAGGTTTTAGGCTTTCCTGCTTGTTGCAACCTGTAGTTAAACAGCAAGTTAATAATTAAAGGGAAGGAAGGAAAAACAAACTTCCCCAGGGAAGCCGGTGGCCGTAGCACCCAGCGCAGCACCTGTGCTTCTGTGCAAATGCCGTTCGTCCCTGCGTGTGCCTGCCCAGAGGTCTCCCCTTCTTCCTCTTCTGCTCCACATCTTTCTCCCTCTATCATAGGTCTTGCCCCGATCTGGGAGGCAAGGAAATAGTTGTGGGAGCCCGAAGGCAGAGAATAAAAGATCAGGCCTCTTGGCCAGCGAGCTGCCAAGCCTTTACCTTTGGCCTCCCCTCAGCAACCTCATCCCAGCCCATTGGGGACCCCTGTGCCCTGTAGCCCCCCCTTGCTGCCCCGGCATCCCAGCGCGGCCACATCCCCAGTGCTGGGTGAGAGATGCCCTCTCACAGTGCCAGCTGGTTGCTGGATCCCTGCCCAGGCCATGCCCACAGAAACTGCCTCAGCTGTGATTTCTTACCTGCCAATATTTATTTTGTCCCTTTTAGGGATACCTGAATCTTCTCTCTACAAACCACCAATACTATTGAACAAAAAACCTGCTCAATATACTTACATGACTGTACTTGGTTGCTATATCTACAAGGCTTTTAAAAATGTTAATAGCCCCCATATCTTTTCTCTTTATTTCCCTGCTGTTTGGCTTTGTTTGCTATTTGTCCCTCTCCTTTCTTGTGAGCAGAGCTTGGAGTCCCAGCTGGGATGCCCCCTCATAGGGTTCCCAGGACATTGCACCAATACAAATAACACCAAGGACAAGATGTTTGGCTAGTAAAATCCTACCTCAGCTCCATAAATCCTGGAATATTACATAGACAATACTTTTGTCTGAACACTTTTCTCCCTCTGCTTCTGCAGCACGCGCTTGTCAAGGCGTGAGGCTGAACCACTCACAAGCTTCCCAGTGCCACTGCCTCACTGTAGCAATGCCACAGTCCTGGTTTGGAGGCAAAACCATACACAAACAAAATCTAAACAAGCCAGAGAATTGAACTTGCTCCCTAAGCCTTCGGGGAGGGATCAGCAACTCCCCCACTGTCCTGGCTCTGCCCTGCAGCCTGCCCAGGCTGCCCCACCACTGCCGACCTCCAAAATCAGATTACAGAGTCAGCAAATACAGCAGGAGTCTGCAGTTCACAGCCTTGCTTAGGCAAGGGGAACAAATCATGCAGATTACGTGCGAGGTTTTTTCCAACCTTTTAAATGTTTTTGGAATGGAAAGGCAATCAGAGTAAGCTACAGGTCTGCACCATCAGTAGGTCTGTCTGGGAGACCAGGTCTCCCAACCTTGGTTTCTGCTTGGAAGTGGCATGGCCTATTTGATCTTTTTTTTTTTTTAAATCTTCTGAGATTGGGGGGTTTTTTTTGGTAAACATAAACATCACCTTTGAAACTTAACGATCATAAACCAAGATGTACCATTCTCGGTGTAAATAGTTATAATATACAAATAGCTTTGCCTTGAGCACGCATCCTGGGAAAGCCAGTTTGTGCAGTATCTTTTACTTCACTTTCAGTCTTTGGGAGTAAAGGTTGGGTTTTAGTAGGTCCATTACCATGTGTGTTTCATAAGTAGAATATTTATGAACAGAGAGAGATTGTATGATTTGAAAAATCCACTGTAGTGTCACCCCTTGGACTAAAAGCTGTTGGAGCTATGTAAATATGGTATTTTGGGTATTTACTTGATGTATCCCACCAAGTTTAAATCAGTTAAAAATTAAAAAAAAAAAAAAAAAGGAGGTAGTCCTATTTTTATGCAGATAACAACAATGTTCCTGCCATGCAAAGCTCCACGAGTGGTGAATAGCTGACAAGAAGTTGAGCAATATGCTTTCTTAACAAATGACTAGTCGGAACTCCACAGCGCACTTTTCAAATATTGGCTATGATTATCGTTTCAGAAATAACTTACCCTACTGGGCACGGAGGAGGATAATTTCAGAGTACTTTGCAAGCCTGTTGAAGGCGGCAACTGACAGGCTTGCCTGACGCCTCAAAGCGTCAAGGTGCCGTCAGAAGGCAATTCAAATAGCACGAGGGCGAGTTATAATGCCGAGGGGAAAGAAAACTGCATGTGCGTGGTCAGTGGTGGGCTGTGCCCCCAGTGCCAGCAGTGAGCACCACCTGGGGCAGCGGTGCGAGCGCCCGGCCACGCAGCCCACAGGGCTTGCCGGCCACCACCACAGGGGTGGAGCATCCTGCAGCCATGCCCTGGGACTACTCAGGGCCACCACCAGGCAGGCCCTGGGAGGGGGTTCACCACCTTGGGCATGTCCCTGCAAGACCATTGCTGGGACAGCGATCTTTCCTCTTCACTGGGAGTGGCCAGCCCTCGGCACCGTGCCCCAGGGATGCCCCAGGGCATGCACCCCACCTGCCCTACAAAGAGCCACGTGGGTGCCCCTATCCTCCCATTCCCACTCCCAGATTCCCAAATTTTCCATCATCTAGTACATCCTAGTCCTGTATTACTCCTGGTGAAGGAGTTTGACTTGTTCTAAGTAGAGGTCCCTCTCAGTTATCTTGACGTGACATTTATAATCCAAACCCAATTAATTCTTTCTCACCTGATTTCAGTGCAGCATCCGCTGCACTGGCAATGTTTTTAAAGATTTCTGTATAAGCCCATAATGGCTTTGTGCAGTAAGTGTTCATGAGCTCTGAGTCTGCTCTGAAGTAAGGTGAAGGCAAATTAAATTATATCATAAATGATCAGTCATACTATCTGCGTATCCATCTACCCATAGATATCTTTCTTCTGTTATTACTAGCAGCAAATTAAGGCTGCAAACGCCAGTCACATCTAAACAGGTGGGGAAAGCTGGCAACAAAGTGGGTGCAGAGATAGACCTTATCTTAACCAGCCTAAGCAGAAGATACTTCATTTCCCTTTTGCTTACCTCTTCTGTGACATCCTATTGTGTCTCTACATCCCTGTCACTGCCTGTGGCAGCTGCTGCCGAGGCAAGGCTGTGCAGCAGCACTGCTTGGGAGCAGCTGGAAATGGCCATCGTCACCTGGCTACCACTGAATGTGGGTATGGCCAAGGAAGTGTTGGAGTGTGAGGGGTGCTCCCTTTCCAGGGTGGTGGTTTCAAATACCCATCCGAAGTGAGAACATGAGCTGCAGTTGCTGTGTGTGCAGCCCAGCCATGTTACTCTGCTCAGAGGTGACAAACCTCTGCAGAAAGCTCTCCTTCCAGCCCATGCAGCTTTTTGCAGAGCAGCACAATTGCTGCTCCTGTTCAGGCTTTGCAGAACCAAGGCCTGAAGGAGCACATAAGGTAGTGAATAATCTGAGGCCTGGGCGTGCTACATCCAGGGCATGATGCAGAGCGTGCGTGTCCGTGGTTAACTCTGCCAGGACAGGGTGACAAAAAAGGTCCTTTCCGAAGATGCTTATATTTGCTCAGCTTCTGAATAGCCAGGCAGGCTGCACTGATGTATGGGCCAAGTAACGTGGAGAAAGTCACTTATGGTCTTGTGTCACGGTACTAAGGAAGGGATTGTACAACCCCATGAGCCTGCAGTAGTGGCTGAAAGGACAAAAAACTGAGTTTGAAACCCAGGAAGACACAGCTATAGTCCTAACTCCACCTGGATGTAGAGATGATAAAACCTTTGAAGTGTTTTTCTTCAGGGGTAGGGAAGAACTTAATTTATTCTTTTGCAAAAAATGCTACAAAAGTATGCCACAAGCCAGCCTGGGTTATCCTCCTCCCTCCTTCCCTCCCTCCCTTCCCAGAGAGGGCTGTCTTCCCTGGAACTGGGATTGGAGCCAGGGCCTGCTCAGTGCAGATGTGGAGGGTAACGTTGGACCTCATTATTGCTTGGGAGAGATTAACTAGGTAAGGTTCCCAGCCCAGCCACACCTGACCAGAAGCCTGTCCCCAGGGAAATTGTACTTTGTATAGCCCAGTCAGACCAG